CTTTATTTTATTTATTTATTTTTATGTGGTGCTGAGGATTGAACCCAGTACCTCACATTGCGAGGCAAGTACTCTATCACTGAGCTATACCCATAACCCATGTAAATCCACTTTAAAAGCAATGTTTTTATGATTAATCAACTTTTATCTCATGATAAGATACATTTGAACTAATATTTTAAACTCAATGTGAACACTTTATTCTACAGTTTAGATATTCTTCATAACCCTTAGTTTTTTGTGTTTGTTTGTTCATGGTCCTAGGGGTGAACCCAGGGCCTCATACATGCTAGGCAAGTGCTTGACCAGTGAGTTACATCCCCAGCCCAAACTTAGTTCTGATTTAATGAATTTTCAAAACTTAAGAAGGTCTCTTGCTGAAGATTTTTTAAAAAAATGCAAAGAGAGTAAGAAATGAGGGGAAAAAAACTAAAATTGCAAGCAGCTGTATCTGTGTTTTCTTAGAGGTGAACGTAAAGCCAAAAAGGAAAGAGACTATTGCAACATGACTGTATTTGGCTGTACTCTTGGCATCATGGGTTAACGGTGAGAGCAGGGGACAAAAGCTTGAGGGAATGGAGCTAGAGAAAATGACTGTGCCACCAGACTAGCCCCCAGGGAAGTAGGCAGCAGACCAAGACACAGGGTCCGAAGGACGCACAGTACTCAGAGTCAGACAGGCGGAAGCACCTTGGTTCTGGGTCATCAGTTTATTCAGAACAAGATGATAGCCAGAAGTTGGGAGTTTAGAGAACACTGGCCAGTTCCTCAAAGGGAGAGGTTGACAAATGTGAGTACAGTGTCCCAGTCATGAGGTCTGAAGGTCCAGGCATGATGTGTGAAGACAAAACAAGACACAGGCAGATGCCCAACCTGATACCTGACTGAGCGTGCTCCTGAGGCTCTTTCTGATGGGACAGAAGGGAAACAGCTTCTTGTTACTTCAACTGAAATTAAGGACAAAGGCTTCCCCCCATTCATATTATTTCCAGGACCTTCACAAATACCCAAATCCCAGGATGCTCAACTCTCTCATGTCAAATGGTATAGTATTTGCATATAACCTATGCATGTCCTCCTCTCTCTGTACTTTAAATCATCTCTAAATTACTTAATAATATCTAACACAATGTATGTAAACAGCTATAGCACTCTATCGTTATGGGAATAATGAGCCCCCCTAAAATTCTGAACATTCTCAATATAACAGTTTTCTCCCCATATTTTTGACCCATAGTTGGCAACTCTGCGGATGTAGGATACACAGACATTGAAGGCCAGCTGTACATGGAGAGAGTCACTTGACTTCTGTCTCTGTTTTTTCCAGTAGCACCTGACTGTTAAGTGGCTTCTGTGAGACCAGGATCTACTGCCTTCTGGCTTTAGCTCAGTCTTTTCTGACCGCTTCTAGTTTAGAGGGCCAAAGGAAGAGAGGCACGCTGACAACATGGACTGTGGCACGTGGGATCTTCATTCCCAGAATGAGGAAGAACCTAGGCAACATTGAACTTTGGGTCAAGAGACTTGATTTTGGGTTCTAACTCTGTAACTTACTTTTTATAAGCAAGCCATTGGTGCAAGCTTAATTAATCAACAAATAGTTAGGGAACACCTATGGCCAAGACCTGTGTTTAGCACTGGGCCTAATGTTTCTTGTAAAATAAGGGTGTTGGAGTATATGATTAAAATTGTGGCCAAGCATTCTCCAGGTGCTGAATCCCCAGCACCACAAGACAAAACAAAAATTGTGGCCATGCTTTCAGAAATAAAAATCCAGGGTACACGGAATACCAGTGCCAAAATATGTGCCCCCAGATAATTGAGGTTGTGTGAGCTGGTTATATGCTGGCAAATGGATCCCCACTCCCACCCCCATGAATCCCCAAAACCATAGAGAGGAAGGAAGAGGTAGAGGCCTCTGTCTTGTTAATCTTTAAAATCATTTAAGTGTTTACCCTTATTTTTTGAATTCTTTAGAATTTAAATGGTCTCAGTTTAAACAGTCCTGTACACATTCTTCACTCTTATTTAAACAAAGGCCAGCCATGGTAATTACACAGCCAGGTTTTTTTTAAATCCTTGGAGACTTTATCATAATTTTATCTTAAGGCCAAGCATCGGTACCTTCAAAATGTTTTGCATTTGAATAGTCTTTGAAATTGGCTATGAGATCCAGAGTTCTCTATAGAGCCACTCATGACAGTTCAGATCTGGAAAGATGAGGGTGACACTAGTATCACTTTAAACTTTCCCCCTGGAGCCACATGTTGGGGGTGGAGAAGAATACGGATTGAAAGCACAGTATTTGACTTGTCATTTTAGATGGTGATCCTGTAGCCATAGGGATAGCACGAGGGTGAGTGAAATGTCATCAGAGTAGTGGGTACTTTGTGTATTTAAAGCAATGTCCTTGGTGCTACAAGAGATACAAAGGAAAAGTAAAGGAGATAAAACTTATTGAAAATTTTATGTTGGGCACTTGTATATGTTCTAGTAGTCAATCAGCAATAATAATAAACAATAAAACATTTTGAAGTACTCACTGTGGGCTGGACACTGTGCTTAATGTTTGTGTGTGTGTATGTGTGATTAAAAATATTTTTTTTAGTTGTAGTTGGACACAAAACCTTTTTAATTTTATTTATTTTAATGTGGTGCTGAAGATTGAACTCAGTGGCTTGCACGTGCTAGGTGAGCGCTCTACCGCTGAGCCACAACCCCAGCCCCTCTTTTTTTTTTTTTTTTTTAATGCTGGGGATTAAATCCAAAGCTTCACACATATTAGGTACATACCTCCACCACTTGATCCACATCCTTAGCCCCTCTATTTTCTTCTCTGTTATTTCATTCATTTATTTGAAACATTGTTTTAGTACTTCCTAGGTAGTAAGTGCTGGGAGACATGTGTGAATAAAAATCCCTGGCTTTGGGCTACCGTTAGAACTCAGTGATAGAGTGGGTATTTAGCATGTTTGAGGCCCTGGGTTCAATTCTCAGCACAAACCACGCACACACAAGTTTGTTTCTTGCTCACACTACATGATGGGTTGGCAGAATGGCCCTGCTGGCCAGAGCACTCAGGCCTCCTGCTGAAGGGAGTTCATTTTCAAAGTATGTTTTGCCATCACCAGGACAGGGAGAAGAAGAGGAAGAAGAGGAAATGATGAGTGAGCACTGACTCTTGAAGCTTCTGCCCTGAAGTGACACATGTAAGTTCTTTCACATTTTATTGAACAAATCCGGTCATATGGTCAAGATTCATTTCAGATGGAATGGGGAAGTACCATCTTGCCATGGGCTTTGGAGAGAAGAGGCAATATTTGCAAATGGCAGTATGGGCTACTATAATCCCATTATACACTTCTGGTCACCAAATGCTTTTCCTGCAATTAAAATACTCTCAAGGACCCCTTCCTGAAGAGACCCGAATATCCTATTCTGGTTGGACCTTCCTAGGTTCTTAATCCCTTCCAAGGTTTTTGACTATGGTGTGATGGCAATACCCTTGATTAGTTGTAAAGCTGAGTTTTTATTATTTATCCCAATTTTATATTATTTAAATATAAGAAGCAATCTGTCTTACAACCCTGTATGGCTCTGTATTTTCAGATTCTCGTTTTTGTCTTTCATTCCTACTTGCAAGCCAGCCAATTTCCCCCTCCCCTTTTCTTGTCAAATGCAGCCAACACTATATTTTCAAATTATTTCTAAAGCTACAAGTTCATCTTCCAAGTAACTTCAGGAAAGAGTTTTACCAATGCTTCTCTATTGTGTATCACGGTTCACCATCCTTGTCACCACCTCCTGACTCTTATGCCAATACCACTTTCTTAAGTTTTGTTCTGGTAGCATACCATAATATGGATGGGTTGGGATGAGGTAGGTTAAAATCTCAGACTTACAAAAGTAAAAGTGTCCTAAAGAATTTGTCAAGGGGCTGGGGTTGTGGCTCAGTGGTAGAGCGCTCACCTAGCAGGTGTGAGGTGCTGGGTTGGATCCTCAGCACCATTAAATAAATAAATAAATAAA